CGTAAGAAAAAGAAAAGAAAAATTACAGACGAAAGTAGAATGAAAGAAAAGTTGGAGAAAAGCAAGAAAGCAAAGTTGGTGAAGAGTGGGACTGACGACGACAATATGCAAACCGGAGATTAGGACGAAAAGAACCGAGGACGGTGGATGAAAGGCAAAGTTGTGAAGTACGTGAAAGGAAAGGACGGTGTAATTAGAGGAGTTATTGTATTACATAAAGGTAACTATTTGGAACGACCTGTTCAGCTAGTATGTCCTTTGGAGATAAGGAGCATGGTTAAGGAAAATCAAGGAAGACACAAGGAAAGTACTGAAGATAATGATGATAAATTAAAGAAAAGACCAGAACGGAAAGCAGCAAAGATGGCGAAAGTTAACATCAGAGAACAGTTGAAGGACGATTAAAGGGAAGTAAATATAACTGTGTAGACTGTTGTTGTTAAAAATTTATAATTCGTTTAAATTTGTTAGGGGAGTGTTAGAGTGTGTGATGAACTCTGACCAGTAATAGCTATATTTAGAGACACGCGCAACATTACCATATATGATATAATGACTTTGTTATTGTGAGACGGTGAGAGACAATAGACAAGGTTGAGAGACAATGGACAGGGTTTGAGACAAGTGAATTCATATATTTCGTATTGTTTTTTGTGTATAATAAATATTTAGAGTGAGGATTTATATACGAGGACAACTTCGGTATGTCAGGATTAACCCAAAATACATTTTTAGCGGAACCAGTTATTTTGGATGACGAATTAAGTATAATTTCAAGTATTTTAGGGACTGAAAATCTTGATTTTGGTACCAGCGAGTCAGTATAAGTGCAAATTCTAGTCATGCCGAGTCAATATATGCAAGAAATATATCACTTATTAGCGACGAAGAGTTACAGAGAATGAAGGAAACTCGAATCCAGTTAAACACGAAGCATAATACAGCATGGGCAGTTCGTGTGTGGAAAGAGTGGGCGGACGAAAGGAATAGTAAAGCACCAGCCAACGAGAAAGTCGAGCCGGATATTTATAAAGTCAGTTTTACGCTACAGTAATCATATCATATTTTGTTTGAGTTCTCGCCGAAAGTATTCTGATTCAGATAAAGGTACGTAGAAACAAGTTATTTATCGTTTATTGTAGACTTGTAGTTAATTTCCATTTTTAGCTTCAGCTGAATTTTCTGTGTTTTAGTTTGGTTCACTTCAAATCCAACGGGCTACAACACACTTGGAGGGGTAGTTAAGAATTAGCTTTGTCGGGATGCTGGAATAGAAGGCAACTTTACAGATCACAATCTTAGAGCAACAATGGCAACTCGTGGTCTCTTAAAGTGAATTCCAGATAAGTTAATTATGGACAAAACAGGTCATAGAGACGTAAAGTCGTTACAGCAGTATCAGAGACCTAGCATAGAGTATAAATTAGAAATGTCAAAAGCGTTTGATTAAGTTGGTATGATGAACACGTCTTTGGCGACAACCAGTACAACTAATAGCGAGTGTCGGGAAGTCCGTGAAAAAGTTGAGGAGGTGCTAGGAAGCGAAGTTAACAAGAGCGAAGGTGACATGCACGTTTTTTATTAACAAGGAATTGAATTTAAAATGTAGACAGAAGAAGTGAATGGATATGGAAATGAGTGTTGTATTTAACAACTTGAAGTTTGAAATATATTTTCAATACGTTTGTGTGAAATAGTATTAGAAATGTAAATATAAGTGGTTGTAGTGTAATTAAAGTTCAATGGATTATCAATTCATGGCCTGTATCCAGGTATAATACTAGAACAGCGGGCTGTATTCAGATACAGCCCAATATTTCCGGGCTGTATCTGAATACAGCCCACTTATTCATAATTATCTATTCAATTCAATTCAATTGAATTCATCAGCCCCGCTCTTCCCTGCTGAATATCAAAACCCTCCCCGTGCTTTTAGATGTTACCCTAATGACCGATATTTATGTTAAATACAGCCCGCGGATCTTCAAAGAAAACCGA